TCTACCAATTCGTATATGTGTGTGTGGTCACGTATACATATGGAGCAGTAGTTGTGTTCTGCATATGAAGGATGGAGAACATATACTCAAATGGCTTGAAAAACCCGTTAAACTGTGAAACATCGATAAACGCAGATGACAGACTACCAATTTCGCCATCTATAGCAAAACACATAACTGACAGGAATCACAGGATTGATTTCAAAACAACTTTCCAGCTTTTCTATAAAAGACTATGGAGAACGCCTACTGAAATACACTGAGACAAAATCTACCCATAAAACCAACAACCCCCCACACACCCACCCTTGTACGTGCACAGAAACAACTTGTTATTACACTTAACCCACCTTGGTAGGTAGACTATCCTTCGTATTCGAATCTCAGAAGGGGCATGAGTTGTTCCTTCAAGTTTGGAGATACGCCTTGTTTACTGCTGAGTGCCAACCAGCACGAAACCTAGGTCAGGCAAGACTTCCTGTGGCTGATTACCTCTAACCGTCTAATACCAACAATTCACAGTGCACCATGATGGCGAGCCACCTAGTGACATGGTGGCCACATTGCAAACATGACTTACTGATAGAACTCAGTCTGCATCAAAGATCGGAGTAGACGCACACACCACACATTGTAACAATAGAAAAATGTAAACAGTCATCACATATTTGTAATGACTAATGTCAAATTGTCATATATGCGTATTTGTCCCTATGAGTGTGTGTGTATGTTGTTTGTTAGGTGAAGAACGCGTCAAAACATGATAATATTTCATAATATGGTCATAATATATGGTTGAATTTGTTTTTTCAAGCATTGGTTTTGTAGGGATTGTGTTTGATTGGTTGGAGGATTTCATCATGAGCTGATATCAGTGGGTTAGAGAACCACTGAAAGACCTGGGAGTACTGGATACCTGTTTCATCAGCCCAGTTTGGGTCTCTTCGGCAGAAGTTAGAATTCATGGGCTGGCCAGTGGATCAGGTCCCAGCGACTTAATGGTCTACGAGCTCGCTAGCCTTGTAACCAGAAGCTCCTGGGTTCGACCCCTGGTGGTGGGTGCGTATTGATGAAGAGTCTCAAACTAGGAGGGTGAAACAGCTGTCCAATACTCCCAGCTAGTTTTCCAATGCTTCTCTAGCTGACTGATGTCAGCTCATGATGAAACCCTCCAACGAATTTGTTTTTCTCCCCCATCAGTCTTGCTATTTGGGAGTCTGCCACATAGATGATAAGCCTACCTCTTCTCTCCGATTTACCGTATTGGATGTGGTCAAAATATGCAAGGCTGCAGAGGTCAACCTTTTTTTAAGTGAATTAAAACCTGTTCCTAGAATTTCGACATTGTCGAAATCAACCTTACGTCCACTTTCTATAGCATGCATTGCTATAGCTGATCTTTTTTCTCTGGACTTTTTAATTCTACTTCATTTCCAGGTGGACGTTTCGTGCGTAGTCTGTGTCCCTTCACTCTGACCTTCACCTGTCTACTGCTTCCCCTCCCCCCCCCTCCGGTCTACATAGCAAGCTTCACATATTGAACACTTTATCCTTTAGACACAATTGTTTTGTGTCATTTTGGAAACTATATCTTTGCCATTCACCAAAGCCTTCTCTAGGGAATTAGACGGCTTGAAATAGACTTTAATATCATATGAAACAAGTAGTCGTTGAAGTTGTTCAGCTGTTTCCTTTCGATATGGAACTGACTTCAATTTATGTACAATTTTTGACTATAAATTTTGATGGTGAATAAACTCCGAATAATTCTCTTGCTCAGGAAGCTGTGGCCTACACAGCGAAACGTTCAGAAAAATCTTGTTTTCATTTTTTCCTTCAACCCTCTGGGATTATTTTGAATAATTTATAATGATTCAGTCTGAATTGGCGCTCTAATTATTCCAGGAAATTCGTATTATCTACAGTCTAGTAACTTATAACCATTACCCCTTTCTCTCTGAATATTTCTTGGGTGGACACTAGGGTCTTAGTTCCTTGTTGCTGATTTTTTTCAACGGAAATTCATGGAGATAGAATAATGAAGGTTACATCTAATGAAAGCCTTCTAGAAATATGAATGAAAGAGATACAGCGGAAGGAAATCAAATTTTCGTCTATGTAACAACCACAATACTAACAATGACAAAGGAGACGACATTAGTATTATGTAATAATGCTTTGAATAGAAATCGGAAATGAAATTGGGAAAAAAAGTAACGAAATAATTTTTTTCAAAAACAAGTTGAAAGTATCGCGTTACCAGAAAGAAAATGCTGTTTCCTGTCCCCATAAAGATGTATAGGTTAGGACTGTTTGTCGAGGAATGTACAGACTTCAACTAAATCTGTGAAACATCCATGAGGGTGGTAGACACTTTGAATAACTTCAAGAAGTCTGCATTCTTTTTGTTTGTCCTTTGCTCTCCAAGTGGAACATAAAGGACTTCAAGCACAGAGCTTCGAAGTTTAAGCAGCGCCCGTGTATTGTTTTTTAGTGGAGTAAGGTGACTAGTCTCACTCCTAACTTTCCTTCATTGGTAGGTTTACTACTGGCGGGGAATCGAACTCCGGATCACATGTTTGACTGGGAGGCATTCCCCAACTAAACCAGAACTCTATATTAGCTTAGTTGATTCGGCAATATCCTTAACTCTGGATAGACTACATGATAAAAATTAATTTTTTTACTAACTAACCAATCAGAATGAAATTAGTAAATAGAATGAGCAATTGACCAATCAGATTTTAGCTGTCTCCTAAAGTATTGATTTAAAGTTTAAATGAATCATAGATGAGTAATGATTATACGTTAATGAGTAAAATAGTAGTACTCATTATAATGAAGGTTTTTGTATTTCCCAATGAATGAAAAACAAAACGATATTGCTGTGTTTTACTGACGTTTCGCTATTTAATGCTGCTGCTAACAGCTTTATCAAAGTATTATTAAACCGGAATTTACAAAATCCACTCAGCTTATATATAACGAAGAGTTAAGAGGTGAGAAAATAGACTTAGGTCAAGTTTAAAGGACATATTGAAAGTCAAAATAACAATGAAGATCACTAAACCAAATAACAAAGGTAATAGTACACCTGTTATGGTATCAAAACAAAGTTTACTAACTTGATCATCGTTCGTCGGTATGGGGTCATTTTTCGTTGTCAAGTTGGTCAATTCGTAAAGGTAACAAAACCACGTAGGTGTAGATTGTTGGATTTGATCAGTGTGTAAAATTATAGAAGCAGCGTGTGTTTATATAATGATATTGCTTATCACATTCGTGTTGATTTTGTCACTTCATGGGGGGAGGTGGGTGTTGTAACCAGAAAGTAATTATTTTACATTTAAAGGGAGTTTATATAGACAGACAAATGGTGTTCACCAGTCTCCCCAATAGTCGCTGACCTTTTCATGAATAGTTTCGAAGATAACATCTTTTCAAGCTTACTCACTCCTAAAATATGGTTAAGATATGTAGATGATACTTTTGTAGTACTAAAACGACATCTACACAATTTATTCCTGGAGAAAATAAACTGTGTATCTCCCAGAATCCAGTTTACTTCAGACGCAGGAAGAATCAGACGTTGGTGAACTACTATTTCTAGAATGCCTAGTTAAGAGTAGGTAAAACGGACATTTTAGTTTATCCATATTCGGGAAGAAAACCCACTCCAATGAATATTTAGACTTCAGATCATCACACCCCATCAGCTCAAAGATTGCAGTTGTTTCAAGTCTTCTTAGACGAGCACACTCTCTGATAACGGGTGAGAAAGAAAACGAAGAAGAAATATCAAATATTATTGAGACTCTCAATCAAAACAACTACCCAAAGAACTTCATTGACAAAATCAACACTGACATTAAGTATGGTCGAAAACGTATTCCGAAAACATGGACCTCAACAATGATCATTCCATATACAGCAGAGACGTCAGACGATATCAGAAGAGTACTCAGTCAGCTCGACATTAGAGTTTTCTTCAAAACATCACACACTAAGGAGCAATCTTGTCCACATAAAAGACCAGATCCCTAAAGATTCTCTAGATAATTGTGTTTATAAAATAAAATTCCTTCTTGGAATATGATGCGATATACATCGGATAAACATCTCGAGAAATCAAAATCAGAAGAAATGAACACTGTAGAGCCGTCTCTGTTCGACCACTCAGAAATCCAGTTAGTGAACTAGAAAAGCTTGAAAAATCATCAGCCATAGGTTGTCTGCACACTCTACAAACAGGCCACAAAATTGATTTTGCAATATTGAAATAATCCAGAAGAAAATTCCAGAAATCAAAAAAATTGTCTAACACGAGAAGCACTTCATATCAAGTGGAATCCAAATTGTCTGATGAATAGGAATGATGGACTAAAACAGAATTTGACCTGGTTACAACACCCACCTCCCCCCATGAAGTGACAAAATCAACACGAATGTGATAAGCAATATCATTATATAAACACACGCTGCTTCTATAATTTTACACACTGATCAAATCCAACAATCTACACCTACGTGGTTTTGTTACCTTTACGAATTGACCAACTTGACAACGAAAAATGACCCCATACCGACGAACGATGATCAAGTTAGTAAACTTTGTTTTGATACCATAACAGGTGTACTATTACCTTTGTTATTTGGTTTAGTGATCTTCATTGTTATTTTGACTTTCAATATGTCCTTTAAACTTGACCTAAGTCTATTTTCTCACCTCTTAACTCTTTGTTATATATAAGCTGAGTGGATTTTGTAAATTCCGGTTTAATAATACTTTGATAAAGCTGTTAGCAGCAGCATTAAATAGCGAAACGTCAGTAAAACACAGCAATATCGTTTTGTTTTTCATTCATTGGGAAATACAAAAAACTTTATTATAATGAATATCATGTACCCAATGCCCAAATATTTTCAAACTGTTAAAAGTGAACTTGGTTTGGACATACATAAAATAGTACTACGTCTCAAAAAAATACTTCGATGTCCAGTGTGAATCAAAGGAACAAACTTCATTAGTGTACAAGGTTGACATAAATTATAATAATGCCACAGTTATACAGACGTTTAAATTAAAGCAAGCATCATGTTGCTTTGATGATTTAGGTGAGGAATGATGGGATCTGACGAAGATGGATTGTCAAGAAACTTAACCCTAAGTTCCTATTGTTTCCGAAGACGCTCAAACCGACAGTTACTGAGTACAATATTGACCTTAATTCCAAAACACAAGGACTTGTAATAAGTTGTATTGTTCGGCAGTTAAAATCAGTACTCTGTATAAAGTCTATAAACAAATGTTTTACAAGGAATGTATGGTACTTTTATTCGTATTCTTTTGTCTTCTTCCAAATTTTACACGATTGAATCATTCGCGCCTTCGATTTTCCCGCCAATGGCGACCAATGCCAATGTACAAACGTTCAGTGTTCACAATCAACAACAGGGATTTTGATGTAAATAATAGAATTAAGTCTCCACCATCACTTAGCATTGGAGGACGCATGACTGAGAGACCAAATAGTTCAGTGGTAACGTCTTTGACATGAGCTGTCTCTTCAAGATTTCAGTTACGCCCCTCTGATGAGTCCCAACAGGCACGAAACCCAGATCAGGTAGAACTTCGTTGCGACTTAACCTGTTGCTTCACTACCCAAGATTCTTTTGGAAGGTATCACAGGCACACAGTATACTAATTACAAAATTCTTGTCAGTAGAACATTTCACACAAGGATGCAATTACTTTTAACTGGTAAGTGCTAAATAGGACAAAACACCAGATTAATTCTAATACTAACCAATACCATGGAAACAATAATAACAAAAGTATTTTACTCATGTATACATTGTTTTATTTAAACAATGAGTAACGCCCTAAATTAAACAATTGAAACATTGACTCATTCAATGCGTCAGTGAATGACTAACTCAGTCAAAGTAGAAAAGAAGAGTAACGCCTACCTAAATTCACTCTTGAGAAGATGACTATGACAATGACAACTCAAAGAAATACTCAGGGTGTTACATTTTTTTTCTTCACAATATTATTTCAAATATCAAAGTAAAATCCGTAAGGGTGAAGATAAAAGTAGTCGCAAGGTGTTTTCGCGCGTAGTAGACATTTCAAACGTCATAACAGATATATATTCCAATAAAGTATAATTATATTTCAATAGTTTACACACAATGATAAGTTTTGTTATTGGTAATATTTCGAGCAAAATTACTGCCCGTGTTCACACCACTGTTGGAATTGTTTTATTCACACATTTATGATTTGTACTCATATATATATAGTCCATTATTTTTGCTCATTCATGTTTTTTTGTATCTGAGTTATATTCCACGTTCATTCATGTGTTTGTATTCAGAATTATATTCCAACTTGTTGATAGTTGTACTGAGTCACCCTTGCTACATGTATCCGGTGTGACTTTAATGAATATCGATTCTGTTATAAGTCTTTCTTTCCATTTGTTCATGTTAGTTTTTAGAATACACACACTGTTCCAATCGATATTGTGGTTTTTGTCCCATGCATGTGCAGCTATCGATGAATTTTTTTCAAGATTCTTGTAGGCTTGTGTTCCTGTTGGTCGACCTTTAGTTAGGCAAGCGTTTATGTTCATTCACTCTCATTTTGAGTGATCTGGACGTTTGCCCCACATATTTAGTTGGATAGTCAGTACAAGATATTTTGTAAATCAAGTTGTTTTTATCCGTCGTTTTTATGAGATCTTTCAGTTGATTTATTTTATTTTTGATTAGATTTGTCGGTTTGAAAGTTGTGTGAATGCCGATATTTTTGAGGTTTCTTTGAATTGCCTCTGATGTACCATTTTTATATGGTACTGTGATTGTTTTTTTGCATTCTTCCATCTTGTTATTCTCCGGTTTTACCCTCTTTTTTCTCTTTTTTATATTATCTTTTATAAATTCTTTTGGGTAGTTCTTGTTGAGTAACATTTTGAATAGGACGTTTATTTCTTTACGCTGGTCTTCTGGTGTTGTTGTAAGTCTACGTATTCTATCTGCAAGACCTTGTACTAATCCTCGTTTTACCGTGAGTGGATGAGCTGAGTGATAATCAAGGAATCCTCCAGAGTGTGTGGTTTTCCTATATTGCGTCGTTTTAATGCTACCATCTGTTATTCTTTGTATTTTGCAGTCTAACACAGTCAGTTCCCCAATTTCATTCTCCACTCCCATAGTGAATTTTATTGAGTCGACATGGCTGTTTATGTGTGAGAAGAGTTTCTCAACATTGTTTTTTCGACCATTACTAGTGTGTCGTCTACATATCTCCATGCAACATTTTAGTGATGGCCTGAATGGTTTAAGGGCATTCTGTTCCCAATAATCCATGAATATATCAGCTATTATTGGTGAATAAAACAATTCCAACAGTGGTGTGAACACGGGCAGTAATTTCGCTCGAAATATTACCAATAACAAAACTTATCATTGTGTGTAAACTATTGAAATATAATTATACTTTATTTGATCTAATCCACAATGCTCAAACTTTTTACTGATATTAATATATATTCCAGTTGCATAAAAAAATCGATAACATACTTTAAAAACAGACAAAAGTAAGACACTTGATATGATCACAGTATCCTACTCCAATAAGAGCAGACTACCTGTTGGAATTCAAAAGCATATTTGACCACCTCTATTCTATCTTGTTTCAAAGAGGCGGAAATCAGAAGGGAGGCAGATTTGATTTTACGACAACTTCTTATATAGTTAGTGAGTACTGATTGTTATTTGCATTGGTTCTGAATTGAACATAAAGCTTCGATAGCACATCACAGTTTCATCCTGTCCTCTGCAGTCATCGTTATCTGGCTGCAGGATTGTCTGTAAGCTCCCGTCTCCTCACACAATCTCCTCCGTGTCACACTCAGACTCGTAACCAACACGTCGTTTACAATTTGGGTCCCATTTGAGGTTGTTTCTGGAGCATGATATCACTCAACAGTCTTCTCAGGATGTGCCGTACCCATCTCTGCTTTCCTCACCATATTTATTAGGCGAAACACTCTTGGTTGATTTGTTCCCAGTGCGTCGGTGGCACAGTGGTTAGGACTCTCGCCGACCATGCACATGGTCCCGGGTTCGATCCCCTGCCGGCGCACACCCGATATCTATGGTCGGCCTGAATTTGGGCTACCGATATCCATGCTGAAAATTCCATACTTGTACTGAAAATACGGTGTGGAATCAAGCTGTAAATCAAAAAGAAATTAAAAAAAAAAATTAAAACCTTTCTCGCCATCTACTCTTCCGTATGGAGCGATGGCAGCTGTTAATAAAAGTCTGCAGCCTTCTAGAAATGCTCTCGTCAACACGTGCGCCAAGTCCCTGAATCATACAGATGAAGTGATTTTTCATTAATGCTGAAAATCCGAATAACAACAAATTCTCGTAGTGATTTTGGAGTGACGAATCTGTGTCTTGCCTTTCCGAGCCTGATTTTGACATCCTCTTCTATGGCTAAATGGTCTAGGAGTTTATCTTTTACCCCAAAGTTCCTGGATTAGAATCCCAATATGGTGAACCCTACAGGAGGGTCCCAAACTAGGACGGAACAGCTCTCCAGGAGTCCCTGGTTTCAACCTCGCCTAGTTTACTATTTTGCTTGTTTTCTAGCCGGTTCTACGTCTAGGGAAAAGACGGGGAGTTGGGTGTAGGACTAGCAACTCTACCCCCGGAAAATCAACCTAATCAAAAAAGAAACCACAGGGCACAGTCAAATTTTAAAAACGGACATATTTTTGCTGCGAATAGAGAGATGAATTGATATGGGCTGGTAAAAGCTTTCGGTAAGCCAGTCAACCAATGGATCTTATTTCAATGATTTCAAAAATAACTATAATGACCTAGGGTGTTCTCGCGATGCTGGAAGCTGGGAAGGCTGCTCTGATTGACAAACAGATGCGGAGATGTGGTATAGAAGTGCTAGGAATCTCTGAGAGCAGATGGAATGGATGTGCATAATCGAAATGGTCAACTGATGAGTCGGTTATCTACTCAGGTCGAACTCAGACCACAAACACGAGCACACTGAGGAAGTGGCTATTACCATGCCACTAAGACCAGCCAAAGCTATTATGAAGTGGGAACCAATCTCCTCCTGCAGAATAGTGACAAGATTCAACTAAAACGGGAAGAAGGTCACGATTGTCCAATGCTACTCAGAACAAAAGAAAAGGGAAGATTTCTGTAGACTGGGTCGCAATAGCTGAGTTCTCCGGATTATTCAACTTAATGGGCCAAATCATTTCACATCTAGCTGAAATCTTGTGTTCTCACAACCTCGCTGAATCCAATCCACTAGTCTGACATATGTTATCGGCCTCACATTCACTACGCGGCATTTGTTAAATTCAGTCAATGAGACCCTTTATCCGCGAAATTTGGCCTCTCAGTACGACCGCTGGTGTTCCCTCTGCATATGACAGTGAAACAGAGGTTTTAAATTCACTATAGGTTGTATGCTTTTCGCTACAATGATTAGTCGCTAAAGAAGCACTCACTGTCACGTGTCCAGTCTTAGGTGCTGAATCAGACTGGACAGTTTGGCGGCAAATTAGTAACCTGGTCATCAAGCTGAGTGGTGATATCGAAGTCTTCTTAGTTATTGGGAAACATCAAGAAATTACATATCTGTAGTCTGACTTTATTTAACTAAAAGTAAGGCCTTCAACTGGCCTTCTTGTATTTGATTTTGGTCACAGCATCATTAGTGCCACTTAGACAGACCAATGTGCAATTCCAGTAATGTTATCGAACCTAAGCATTAGTGTGCTTATCGTTTAAATGAGTCAAGCAGCTGAAGAATTCTAAAAGCCGACTCGTTTCACTCTGAAGTGGGCGCTTAAAATGCTGTCCAGAAAAGAGAAGACTAACTGACTGGTGTCAACATAGGAATTTGCAGAGCAGTGCAACGATGTGAGTTGGCACACTCCATAAGTGGCACACAAAGAAAGACAAAAGAGAGGAACAAATAGATTCGAAAAACCGCTAATAAGCAGATATGCGAAGGAGAAAGAACAGTAACATGAAAAAACAAAACAACCAATAGGGTTTTAGCAGATATGTCAAGTCA